CGATTTTCTTAATTTTGGGAGATCGCCGATATTTACCTGTGAAGTTGATCTCATCAGCCTCAGCAAAGGTCTAAAAATCATCCACTGTCCTCTTCTGTTTTCCCGTGACAGAGGTTTGACTGACACACCGACCCCTCATGTCACGCCTCCATGTTTGCCTCCATAGTCACCCCACTGTTAAAAACTCAGTAACTTTCTTGATATATTTAGCAACATTCCTGACAAAAAAAATGGTATGGACCAAAATACCAGCAGCTCAGTGTTTTTATAGCTTCGTAATCAGCGATCAGTGAGAAAATTGCAATCAGTGCATTCCTAATTCTGATTTAAATATTAAATAAATCACCCACACAATTCACCACCATTATAGTGTCATTCCAAACGTGCAAGTTGGTGACAACAATTCAAGTTTAATTACTTGAAACCAATGCCAGCTAGGAACTAATAAGCAACAAGCCGCACCACTACCAAACAGGACTAACAGAGGATTCTCACATTCAGAACATGGTGCTCATACTGAGAGGGAGGAAGAGAGAAACAACACCATGCCATTTACACTGATTATTCTCAAGTTTTTCAGGGAGTTGCAGACCTGTCTTTCTCAGTTCACTGTGTGACCCCATGTAGTCCAACCCTGACATTTCCCTTTCTTCTAATGCTCTTTAAATGGGCCTAAGGGCAACAAGACTCATGCAAAGCTCCACAGGCAGTCTTTATTATCAAACGGAGAGGGAAAGCATTAACTTGGCAGCTTTTTTTTCCTAAATGATGTTTTTGTCTCTTCCCTCTCCAATGTGTAATTTATATTATTACAGTTCAAGATTTGAGACACAGAAGAACAGGTGAGTAGTATTCTTATCATAACAGGTCCACAAAGCAACTGCTGGAAACCCAATTATTGTTCTGAAGATGCCTGTTACCTGTATTTGTTTCAGCTGTGATTTCAGGTAGTTATTCTCGCCCTTGTTTGTCTGAGCTGAATCCTTTCTGGTGCCACTTATGCTTATTCCACCAATTGAACTCTTAGCTTGATTGTTCTTGCTGCTGAGATTAGAATTGCTCAACGTTTCAACACATTTGGACGTTTCTCAGAATCAGAAGGTTGTTTTTCAGACATCCAGACCAGAACATCAGACACAAACGTTTTCTGTGCTGCCCAGGAGTAAGTCCCACAGGAATAGGTTCATACTGAGGTTTTACTGCAAGCAGGAACTAAATACGTTTCTGTTCTTTAAGTTGTCTGCAGCATTCTCACTGTCTGAGAAAAATAATACTTTTAGAGACCTTTAACGGCCTAAAATTTAAAATTTATGCAAATGCATATCATAATTTACAGTATTAAAATGACACGTTTAACCAATAATCTGCTCAGACCTGAAGTGCTTTCACATATTTAACCATTGATTGAAAACAAATTACTAGATGGGTTGCCAGAAAATAAAGATTACCAAAGTCCACTGAAATTAATTTCTCACAGCATAAATATTTATAAGCTTGAAAGAAATTTTTCCTCCAAAAAAATCGTTTTATCCAAAGTTAATTAATTAGTTCACAGAATCAAAGGCATACAGGGGTCACTTGTAAAAAATGGAAAGAAAAAGTAAAATTCAGTGTTACAAATTTACTTGAAGTCTAAAATGATGAAATTAAACCTAACTGAGCTTAATCCAAGATCTGTCAGGGATGCACTTATACTATTCTGGAAGTCTTTAACCTCCACGTACATCTGTGCATGAGATTCTGCAATATAGCATGACAAGTGGATACACCAACACTAGCGAGCATTTAGCTTGCAGAGCTCATCTTGGCATCTAAAGGAGCAACCTCATTTCATCATTGTATGCGGCAGCGAGTTTCTGCATGCTGCCTTCTCTGCAACTCCTCCACAAATGAGTAGTGTGGTATAAAAAGATTTAAAGAGTTCAATCTTCACTGAAACAGTGCGTAGCATATTTACATCTCAGCATTAGCTTATACAAATATTTACCAGCAGACAGATCATCAGATATAAAATGTTGTAATTACCCAAAGTAGAACTAAGAACTGGACTCGGCCATAAGAAAGTCAGAAAATACTGAATTCCAGTCTTTCCTAACTCTGACATTCCAAATATTACTCTTCTTTGCATTATAATGAATGTCAAGCTTTTCTTTTGTGAAAAGGCCAGCACTGTATGGAGAGATGGGGAATGTTTATGCCCTTCTCAACAATAAAACTTAATAAAGCTCAAGTCTAGGAAACAAATTAGCACACACATCATCTACACGCAGTCATAGTTACTCTACAAACACACCCACATACACACCTTAGGGTACCATCCACCAATATCCTTTCTGCTGAGTAAAAAATGTTCCAGCACATTAAATAATCAGCCTCTTCATACGGTATGCCTGGGATGCTGAGGCAGGACAATGACAAAATAATAGGAAAGAAAAAAACTAAGCTTGCAGATAATGAAGGTTTTGTGTATTACCGCCCAAACAAATGTATAGCAACACATTTGGGTCCTAATTTGTTAATATATCAATTGTCCTCTTTTTGGAGGGCTGACTACCAAGAGCTATCCTGCAATTAGAAAGTTGTCAGTTTTGTTTTAGGTTTCTCTTGTAACATGTCAATGTGCCCTTGGGCAAAGCACTTAAGCCCAAACTCCCCACTGATCTGGGCATCGGGGTATGAATGTGTGCGTGTTGCTGAGTGAATGTGGCTCTGCTGTAAAATAAGACTTGAAGCAAATCAGCAGTGACACTGAAGAAACTGCAGGCATTTCCAGCAAATCTTGTGTTCTACACGTGGCAACACTCTCCTGTATTCATTAAATGTGTGAACAAAGAATTAGTGTTGAACACAGGATTTTCTTATAAAACACACACACACACACACACACACACACACACACACACACACACCTGGTTGGAATGTTATAAAACCTTATGAAGGAATGTGTTGTTTTCTGATAATGCCAAACTTAATTTGTTAGACCAAAATTCTTAAAAATAGCTTTGCACTAAAAAACATTACAGTAGATTACCAAAAGTAATCTACTGTAAAACTGCAGCAAAATATGGTGGTGGCACCATTATGCTCATGATGAATTACTTTTCCTCAAATAAATGACCAAGAATGTTAAGATTTCTGTAAGGCTTAAAGAAAATGTATAGCTTGGAAAATCTTAGAGTCCAGAACTTAATCTGACAAAAGATGTGAGGCCACCTGAAGAAGGCTGTGGACAACTCATGTCCTCATAATCTGATAGATTTTGAGGATTGTTGCCGGGTAGAGTGGGCAGCAGGGTTAATAATCCTTCCCACTCCTTCATACCAGCATGACTACATTTCCCATGGTCTTTATATAAGACCTCCAGCAGTTGGTGCAAGTGTAGCAATTTCACCAGTCTGATCAATCCCCCAAGGCTCATCCCTATGCCTCAATGTGCCTCAGACTGCTGAGTCCAAGTTACTGACAAAGAGAGGAGTGGGAAGATGAAGGCTCTGCATGTCTGCGTAACATCCATGCAGAGATGGGAGAAGTCCTGTTGCATTGAAAAAGATATTTGGATAAAAACAGATTTTTTTTTGTTAGAAAGTGTTTTTATGAAACATAACAACATAATGTTATGTTGTTATAACATAACAACATAATGTTATGTTATGTTATAACATAACAACATAATGTTATGTTATGTTATAACATAACAACATAACATTATGTTATGTAGAAATAAATTATCATGTACTTTGTAGCTGTCTTAGTTTTTTGCTGAACTTACCCATATGATTTAGATGTTATCTTAATAATGAATATCTGGGAGCAATTAATTCTGTCTAGTTTGAGTAGTCGTGAATCTGAAAGCACCCTTCAAATTCTGACTGGAATGCAATATTTAGATTTCACTCAAACTTTCTAGTACTTGTGTCTACTGTGTGGGTATTAAAGCAGTTAAATAAGCCTGGTTTCTCTTTTATATCCTCAGGGCAGGGATGTTAATCTTGCTTTGCCCAGGGGCTACTTTTGCAAAATAACAAGAGCCCAGAGGCCAGGTGATAAACAAGACTTATCAGATGAAGCAAAGAAGCATCAAAACTTTTCTGAGCGATTTTCTAAATCATTGTTTCCAAATTAACTAACTGAATAACTACCCGGACCTAATCTGATACAACCATCAGACGATATGGGTGCACTGACAGCAGTTTTCTGGCCAATCTCTGATTACCAATCTTTAAAAAGCCTGGCCTGCCGACTCTGGTTTTGGCTGATATAATTTATTTATTTTTTTATGAAATGACAGTAAACGTAGCAAGAAAGTCACTGAGGTGGCAAGAGTGAGGTGGCTATTGTTAACGACAAACATGCAGACATGACCCGGTGGGTCGGACTTCAGTCTAAACTCTTTCACTGCAGAGCAGAAGAGGCTGATTCTTAGATCCTTGCTGAGATCGATGGATAAGATTAGCTTCACTGATCTCCTAGAATTAAGGAACATAAATTGGTGAAACCCTATTAGACAACAGCTTTTCAAGTTTAGTTTGGAAAAGAAACCATGTGTGAATGTTTTTGAAAATATTTTTTAACTAAAAAAGCTCTGTCCACATCTTCCACAGCCCAAATATCCAGTCCTTACAATGGCAATGGGAAGACGTTGGGTTGGAAGTGGCCAATGACAGGCCAGGCAGACAATTTTTATACTTGTAAGAACTGAAAGTAGGAGTTTGCCTTTGGCATTTCGTCATATAAAATCTAAGCTGAACTGAGTTCAATCAGCTTACGCCTCGATAACACCTGGTGTCCAAAGTGATATCCTGTTACTCAAGGTCAGGTCTAGCCACTTTGGTACCCTAGGTGAGATTATATGTGTGTGTGTGTGTGTGTGTGTGTGTGTGTGTGTGTGTGTGTGTGTGTGTGTGTATTTTGGTGAACATTTAAGAAATAAATATTCACCAAAACACAAATTATTATGTGCAAACCAAAAAACTTCTAAATATTCTGACCAGATCACTTACAGGACATGGCAAGTCAGCAGGATCTGTTGGTGCACTCTTTATTTCAGATGCATGGATGAGCTCCTGTGAGGTGGAGGCAACAGGAAGAGCACTTTGTGGTGTTGCAGAAGGCCCTGGGGTGGGATTTATATGTCTCCATAATACATCTGAAGAGAAAAAGAGGATTATGATTCCACAAATACAAGTAAAAACATAAGAAATGTGTTTTGCTCAATATACTGTACATCTAAAATACTCAATAAACTTTCTAAGATCCAATTTAAATCAGACTGAAATTATCACAGTGAAATGCAGAATTCAATGAAGCAATAAACTTCAACAGGATATGGGAATGTTATAATGATCCTAAATTGACAATAATGTGTATCGTTTTGTAATGAGCTAGCAGAGTTGACTTGTTTTTGCTAGTTCACAGTTTTTCTTGATTGCCTTAACCTACTTAAATTCACCCAGTTTCACTATCTCAGCAGAGCAGAAGACTCCTCTTGCACATGCATGAACTATTTCTCGTTAGTTTGACACATCTTCCTCACCCTTTTGCAAAACCGTTCACACAGATGTTATACAAGCAGTCTAAACTCCACTGTTTTCTCCATGGTAACCACATTTTTATTTTCTTTATTACTTATTTCATGATAGGTTTTTTACTTTACATTTACAGTATTTCAGTTTTCAACCACAATTTTAAGAAATGTTATGGAATCAATAAAATTTGCTCAAAACATTTCTGATTTTGAATCCAATTTTTTTGTGAGAAGGAAAATTTGAGACCAGAAAGATAAACCGTCATGGATAACACGAAGCCGTTACCCATTGCAAGTTGTGTTGTTTGAAGGCAATATTTGTTTCATATTTGAAATATTTTTGTCAGTTACGTGTCATTTTGACCATGAGTGCCAAAGTTTAGGCCTGTGTGTTACCCGTCATGAAAACATGGAGTTTGAGTTGACAGCTAGATGAAAGAAATCAAGAAATGCTAGCTAGGCTATTGGTTAGCTCCGTGTTTGGCTAGCTAGCTTAACTGCTACACAACACTCTGCTAAATAAATACAAACAGGTAATTTCATCACATTAGTTTTACTGTACCTCTTTTTCTGTGAAGTTTTTTTTTCTTCTTCTTTTCGTTTTTTTCCTTCCTAGGGCACGGGACAATTTAGGACGTTTCAAAACGATGTTTTCTGTTACCAAACTCATCTACCACCAGTGCATAACGCGACAATCCATTTCCGACAGGTAAAGGTGAGGTGAAGGTGGGTCTGGGGAGGGGCTGGGGAAGAACAAACCAACCAGTAGAAAAAAATGGGGGGAACTAAACAAAATGTCATTATATTTAGATTAATATATTTTCCTATGCAGCTAAATTAGTTCAGATTTTTTTGTATTAGGAAATGATTATCACCTATTATTTTTTAAGAAATAGTGAGTTTCTCTTTTTTTTTTCTTGTCCCTTTTTATGGCGCCCTCTACACTCCTGGCACCCACTACATCAGCCAACAACCCCAGACCTTCTCTCCTCCATCTCCAACCAAGTTAAATTACAAATGTAGTGAAACTTATGCAGTGAAAATGAACAGTTTAATTTCTATACTTACCTCCAAAGATTTCTCTCCACATCTTTTCACAGATGTTGCCAGGAAGAATACTAACATGATTCATCAAGATCAGGTCATTATCCCAAGTTGTCAATAAACTGACCTAAAGCTGTTCTGTTTCCAGAGCCTCTTCCCTGCTTGTGTCTCAAAAAAAAAAAAACTAAGCAACAACACAGCTGTGTGCCTGAAGAGGTGAAGATGAGAGTGATGTTTCTATGAACCAGTGAGGAGTCATTTTAAATTTAGTTCAGTCTGAGTTTTAGGAAAATACTAAACTTCTTTAATTTTCAGTTATTCACTTAAAAAAAAAGAAAGAAAAGTTTATTCCTTTTACTGCTGGCACTTTAAGAATGAAAAGTACATAAATACTAAGAGAAAATTAAATTTTTGAGATTTCTAAGGAAGACAAAAAAGATGAAGTTCCAACCACCCTCTGACACACACTCTCAAAAACACACAAAGCAGAGAGGAAAGGTAATCAACACTGGTATGTCCATGCTGAATGGTTGTCCAGGAAACAGGTGTAAATAAACAGCCAAGGTAAAAAGAAGAGAAAGAGACACTCTATCTCTACAAGAGGAATAAACATTCTGCATGTGTGCATGCGTGCGTGCGTGCGTGCGTGCGTGCGTGTGTGTGTGCGTGTGCGTGTGTGTGTGTGTGAGAGAGAGAGAGAGAGGGAGAGAGATAGAAAAAGAGAGAGAAATCCCATAGCAAACAGTACGAATTAATCTTGCAAAAACTTGAACACAACAACAAAAACAAAATCATTAAAAAACTAAATAAAAAACTAAATAAAACTTTGATGCTGGAGCTGAGGAAACAATGTGTATATTTTATCTGTGAATCTCATTGTTCAAAAGGTAGATTGGAAGAAAAACATATGTATTTGAGATACTTTTTTTTTTTAAATCTTAAATTAGTCTATCATGTTCATGTGAAATACTGAACATAATATTCCTGTCACCATATATTTATAGTTTCATTAATTTTCTGCTTAAGACTGTTAGGTTTCCACAAAAACGACTTAATTTCCTTCACTTGTATTCCATAAAACAATATGCATTTCATTTGCAAAAGCTTTTGAAGTGTCCCTACAGGAGGGATCAGGCCATCTATCTGCGCTAACAGTACGGGACTCGACTGACGAAGTGAGTCCAACAACAGCTTCTAAATGAAAAGAAAAAGAGCAGAGGGAATTCTTGAACACCATCAAGATCAAGGAAGCACATTTGGTTGCATTCATGATCTGTCTCAATCCAATCTTAATTCTTGTCACAAAGAGCCTAAGCCTCACTGCTTTTCTAAAGAGAGTGGGAGCACAAGAGAAAAAAAAAACACTGTATCCAGTAAGTACAACATGTTGTTTCTGGCTGTCTGCTCAATTTTCATGGTCCCTTAAGCCAACAGCAACTCCCCAAACTGTGACCAAACAATCTTGTTAGTTTCCACCACAACCTCTTTCTCTTCACGCTCCTACACGGAGAGCGGCTGCTTTTCCCTGCAACATATTGCTCTGTAGGTACATCACCATAATGGCAGGATTATTTGCTTTACACTCTCTATTTATCATAAACACCGGGATTAGTTTATTTCTTTTCAGTTCAGCTTATTTATATACAGCAGTGCCAATTTGCAACAGAAGTCCTCTGCGATTGAGAAAAAGCCAACAGGTTATATGCAAACACTTTTAAACTATGATCCAGTCCAAGTTGTTTATTCCTACATATTAGCACTTAACATTCAAGTCCAACTTGAATAATGACATTGAAAGTAAGAACACATAAATATTTTGTGTTATTTATAATTAAAACAGCATCACATTTTCCAGTTAACCAAGTTTTTTTCAGTTTTTTTTTCTGTACAGTATATTTAGGAACTGTAGATGTGCATCAGTGGACTCTGCTCTATTCCTAATTCATTGATGCCATTATGTGGCAACTTTAAACAGCATTCACACATTATACATCATCATTTTTGTAAGTTATTTTGTGATAGGACGTTGGTGTTTCATGCATATTTTATGGACTTGACAGCAGACCTTAAGCAACCTGAAAAGTTGTTTTCTATTATTTCAACAATATCTAGATCCACATTTTAAACCGGTCATAAATTATCCAGACACAGAGTAGAAAAATATTTCTGCCCAATAAGTATTTGGCTATAAGTAGGTAATTAAGAAGAAAAAGAAAAACAAAAAACTGAAATGGCAGGCAGGTATGCCACTCATGAGATGAGAATGTAACAAACTATTCCACCAGATCAGATCACCATTATAATTATTAATCAAAAATATCACAGATCAGGAAGGCCCACCTGAGTAAAATGAGAATTCACCCAGTTTAAGGTGTTATAGCATTTTAAATCAAGAGTGTTCAAGCATCTGAAACATGTGGAAGTTGGAGAACTGGAACTGCCCAACTCTGTTAAACTGGCAAAGAAACTAATGGAGTGGACCTTCAGAAACTTATTTTTATATTCTTGCCTTAGATTTTGTTAAATAATGGTGCAGAGTTATGAGATTTTTTTTATTTTTTTAGAAATGAAACAGGGTTTTTAAAATAAATGGCACCGGAATAAAGTCAGCCTAGATTTCTCTGATGGCAGAAGACAAATGTAGATCTCAAGCTGTTCTTCAACATTACATTGTCAGACTGAAGGGCTCCTGTCTGCAGCTAATCACATCCATGAAAAATCGTCACATAACAGGCTGACAGATGAGACGTTGAAGCGAGTGCACACTCATATAACACACACACACACACACACACACACACACACACACACACACACACACGTGTACAGCTTTATGGCATACCTGCAGTCAAGCTGAGTGTGATGTCCTGGACACAAGGTATCGCCTGCAGCCAATTCTCTGGTTGTATTGTAGTAACAAGCAGCTGATTTGCAGTGTATGTGCTTGTGTAATACTATGTGTGTGTGTGTGTGTGTGTGTGTGTGTGTGTGTGTGTGTGTGTGTGTGTGTGTGGCCTTGCATTTTATACATTGCAAGGACCATTTTACTAACAAATACTACCTTGTGGGGACCAACTTCACATAAGAAGAAGTGTTGTTTTTGGGTTAGGGGTGAGGTTTAGGACTTGAGCTTAGGTTAGCTATAGGGTTAGCCTTGTACCATTATTGGTTTTTGGGTTTAGGATAAGGGTCACGATTAGGCTGTAGAAATGAATGAAAAATGAATTGAAGTCAATGCAAAGTCCCTGTGGAGAGAGAAAGACACACTACGTGGGCAAGTGTTCAGATGTTTCAGGGTTATATCCAGGAGACATTGCCAATGGTTTTCCATCAGATGCTGCTGCTCACATTCATTACCTGTTCTGATAGAAAAAGCTTCATTTACACATATAACACACATGACAGCGTGCCCAGACAAATATGATTTAGGCAGACAAAACAACCTTTTGTTCAGCAAGATCAGATCAAAAATGAAATAAAAATGACTCATACAAATACACTCACACACACACACACACACGCACACACGCACACGCTGAAAGGTTCACAGCTGCAAGAGTTCATTTGTCCATTTGGAGACTCCTTTTGCCTCTCCAACCAATCTGCTTTCCTTGTTCACTTAACATTCTCTCTCTCTGGTCAGCGTTGTGTGAAATGAGGAAACATGACAACTGAGACCAAAAGAACTGTCAAATCTTCTCTGCAACACACTCACAATGACATATCTCACACCAAATACTGTTAACCAGCTCCATAACCTTTCCAGAACATTATTGCAAGGAGGCCTCCCAGACGTGGAGCTTATTACCAAAGATAAATATAAAAAATGGGTGGAAACATAAAGAAACTGATTGACAATTATAAGAACCCTTTGATAATTGGAGTACTAAAGATTTTCCAATACAAATGTTTTGACATGGATATTTTTCATCAAATGTAAATAAAAACCAATGTTTTCCCCTCCAAATGGATTCCCCCTTTTCTATTTATTTACTTTCTTTTGAGAGTTGCCTCTCTTATTTCCTATCAAAATCAAACTTCTTGGTTGAATGACAATAACAAATCAAAATCTACCAGCAGCAGAAATGGTTTTGTGCTTATTTTATACATAATGATTTAAACCTGGAATGTTGCAATGTTTTTCTGTTTATGATCCATCACACAAAGTAAATCAATAGCAGCTCAGTAAGATTGTTTTTTTCTGAAACAATTTTGATTTTGAAAAAAAATCTATCACACTCCAGAAGCTGCTGCATGTGTGCGAGTTCATTGTTGCTTTGGGACTGCACACAGAAATGCACACAATTGGCAGAGAATGAAATGAAATAGGCAGGAAATTTTTCATTTTTTGTTTATTTTTGTTGGGATGAAGTTGATGTGTGATTATCTGTCTAAGTGATTGGATTGAACTGAATTGACTTACATATTATAAACTGGATCTATTTGTCTTGGAAATTACCTTGGGATGACATTTGTTGTGCACTGGTGCCATACAGATAAACTAAACATAACCAAAATGAATTAATTATTCACATAATCACTTATTCTATGCTTCCACATACTGTATGTGTATGTTTGTACTCAAGCTTGACATTAGTGAAAGCAAAAAAGGAAGGAAAACCTGCTTTATTTTTGCTTAAAGCATCTCTGCAGGGAAAAGCCATTCCC